CTTCGAAAATTAACTTACAAAAACAATGATTATGTAGTACATAGGTAAAAGCGGTATGGTCAGTCTCTAGGGCGGAGAGTAAGGAGAGGGGATCCTTGATGAAGCACCGCTTCGGTGGTTTTGATGAGCGATAGATTTTCCATCATCAAGAAGCGTCCTGGGTCCCAGAATTTCGGGGTATAAATCAATGTAGGACACTACGAACTAGCAATCGCGTCCAGTACATACAGTGTTGTCGAATACATGGCGCATACGGGGTCAACGTAGCAATTTCATCGATCAGAATCCCACGAAAATAAAACCAAAAACTACGAGTTTTTCTGTAGTGTACGGCACTTCTCTGCCTTTTTTCGGCATTAACACGTTTTTCTTCCCTGCGAAACACTTTTTCCAGACCTTTTTTGGCCTTTTTATCGCTTCTTTCCCTTTGTCTTGGAATCTGCATCGTTTTTTCCCGGTTCTTTTCAGAGTTCTACCCTTGGAAGGACAAAGTTCTCCTCCTGAAGGGTCGTAGCTGACATCTCTTTGAAATTCTGATCGCTCGCGCTCTCATTGGTGATTACAAGTAATCACTGTTTTTTATAGGGACAAAAATAAAGGTCATTCTTATCACCCCATCAACTTTTTTGCACATCATTATTCGGGATTCCAGTGATTTCTCGAACGTTTCTCGTGCATTAATACTCGATTTAGCACCGTGATTACTCACTGATTCACCGTCGGCTTTTCTTCTTCTCAGGGTCGTTGTCGTTGTCAAGTGGGCGGAGCTCGGTCTTCGATTGGTCAGCTGCTGAACGAGAGGCGGGGCTTAGAGGAGGCAGCGCGAGCGCAACTTGCTCTCCAACCCGTACCGACCGACGACTCCACTTCGCCGTCGCAACTCACGTACGCTATCAGCAAAACATACACAAGCAAGATATTCGTCTGAAAAGGCTCCTGCAGCACCGACTATGACGCAGGTCATCTGCCACGATCTTAATGAGGTCCGTTTGGACGAGTTTCTGCTTTTCTCTCCTTCACCTTACTCTATCTCCCTTCATTTTCTCCTTTTCTTCTTTTTGAGAGACCTAGCCTAATCCTAACCTCATTTCAGGTCTGGGACGACATCAGCGAATTCCTGGATCAAGAAAATTTTCGGATTGGCGAGGTCAGCCGATTGGCATTCTCGCCACTTGAAACACCAACGGTCGGTATGCTCACTCGAGCGCCGCGAGTTCACGATCAGCTCGTTCGTGAGCCACCGATCACGTTGGCCATGCCACCACCGGCGCTACCTGGCGCCACATTCGCCCCAGCAGCAGCGCCAAATCGTCTTCCGGCGTTTGCCTCCACGTGTGCCTTAGCGGCCGCTGCTGCTGCTACCAGCATTGGAAGTGCTTGTTCAGTACAACCGACTACATCCACTGTTATTCCCAGCTATTATTCTGCTCCACCACAGCCAACGGTGGCTCCGGCACAGGTACAACACCCACAGCCACCACCACTTCCCATTAAGGAAGAATCACCACCATCTAGTCCCGAGATACCGTATCCGTACATTGACGCCAGTTATTCACGAAGTCCACTCGCCAACAGCTTGCCTGATTTGAATTTACCGAATCAACGAAATCGGAAAACCAGCAGGTGAGCGAGTTTTTGAGGAATTTTTGTACTTTTCCTTCACAACGAACATTTAGTCCTTCAAAGGACTAATTCGCTTAACTCTGTGATTATTTGTTCGTTAATGTTCCTTTTCTTTCTCTAATTGTCACTTAAG